CGCCATGTGGAGAGGGTCTAAGAAGACATCCAGGGTAACTAACCTCTCTCCTCGTGCTGAGAAAAGAACCCAAAGCTGGGAGTCAGAGACACGGTGCCACCCCCTCTGCTTAGTGACTGCTCTTTGCTGCTAGGCAGCCTCCTTGTGTGTAAGGGGTCTGCCCTGCTCTGTGTACTTTGCGAGATTGCTGTGCTTGATCACAGGGGGTCCTGCACTGGAAGATGCCTCGGAACTACCAAGTGATGTCCAAATGCCATGTAGGGCATTGACCAGGAGAGCTGAAGACTGAGCGGGTCAGTAAAAGCCCCCGTGGCTTCCCCCTCTACGTGGAGCTCTGGGCTGGATCACTGCAGCCAGCTCTCCTCGACACGGGAGGCATCTGCCCCAGAACAAGTCCCGTGCAGGAGTCCAGGGGATGCTTGGGAAGGGCTTCTCCAACAGCACTAGGGCTCGGTGCTGACCCAGCTCTCCGGCTCTTTTTGGCCAATCCTACTTGCTGGATCCTCGGTTTGCCCACCTTTGGAAAGGGCATAACTATACTCTATCTTCAAAGCTACTCTTTTTCTTTTTCCACTGTTGACACTATTACAGGTGTCCCCCATTCCTCCTCCTTTGACCCCCTTGAAGCTACTCTTGATTTGTGATCACTTACTTTGTGCCAAGCTTTGAGTGCTTAAATGCATTATCTCATTTATTCTATCTGTGAGCTCAGTACTCTTTTATCCTCCCCCTTTTTTAGATTAGAAAACCAAGATCAAAGACGTTGATGCCCCAGATTACACAGAAAGTAGGTGATGGGGACAGGATTTGAATCCAATCCACCTGACACTGTGGGAGACTTTTTGCATGGCATCAATTTTGTTAAAATCTGCTCTGCCATCGCCTGCCCCAAGGCAGGATATCTCTGCATTCTGCATTTCTTTATCTCTGCATTTTGCATTTCTTTAAGTAACCATTTACTCAACAAGCCAGTCTTTGCTGACCTTTTGTTCCTTTTGTAGTATTTCCTGGAATTGCTTCGGGCAAGCCTGGTGCTTGGCAACAGGTGCTTCTTGCCCTATATATTGTGTGAATTACCCCTGAATAAACGAGACTTGATCAGAGCCCTGTCTTGTCTCCATTTCTCGTGTCTCTTGTCCCTCCTCACCCTCACTCCCCCTCTAGAGTCCTCGTTGCTCGACCTGCAGGACGGGTCATGACACTGTCTATACTGTGCCCTGGCAGTGGTATGGTCTTGTGTAGCCACTTGGGGCTTCAGCTGCCTCTTCTATAAAATGAGGGGCTGGACAGATGTGGGACAAAAGGAACCTGTACATTGACACCCTTGCAGCTGTCTTGTGGCCCCACAAGAGCCCAAAGGTGAGCCTGGCTCCGACTGTCTGAGTGCTTTGCTCCCCACAGCATCCATTTCGTAAGAGGGAATAGATGGTCCTCGTGACAGCCCTTCAGCATCTTCCGCTTTCACCCCCGCAAACAGCAGAACTCCAAGGGGGGCAGCTGTCCGCAGGGCTGCAGTGGTCGGCTGGGCAGTGAGAGCTCCCCGCGGGCCCTGAGGCGTGGGTGGGGATGGTTATAAAGGGACCAGGCTCTTCAGACCCCTCTCATGGCAAAATAGGAAAGGAACTCAATCAAACCTGAACCTGAAATTAATTCTCTACAATTGACACAAAATTTGGCTCACTCAATACATAAAGAGCATTTGCAGATCAATATGAACAATCCCAATACCATAATTGAAAAGTAAAAAACAGTTTACAAGGAGTAGTAGAAATGACCAATATGCATTTGGAGAAAAAGTCCAATCTCAGTAGTGATGAAAGAAACGCAAATTGAAGCCATAAAATCCATCTTAAAGTATTCTTGCAAAAAAACAATTCTAATTGAATTAGATCAAGCTTCTAGATCTAACTACTAGTTTATAGACAACACGGGCGCAAAAGAACGTGTAAATGGCACTCGGAGGATGCAAGCAGCCAAAATCCAAATGTGGAAAACTATAGAACAAACAGTCCAGTTTCTTCAAAAAATACATTTTAAGAAAAAAAAGCTATAGAAGAGAACTTAGTATTTAAAGAAACTTATTAGACATCTCAACCAAAAGCAAGGTATGCACCTTATTTGGATCAAACAAACCAAATGCAAAAACATGGCACAATCAGGGACATTTGAACCCTGGCTGGATATTTGATGATATTAAGGGATTCTTGTCCATTTTTTTAGATTATGAAAATGGTATCGTAGTTATGCTTATTAAAAGATTACTTATCTTTTAGAGATAGATCAGAACATTTTTAAAGATGAAAATATATGATGTCTGGAATTTTCTTCAAAATACTTTGAGGAGAGAAAGGGGGGGGGGGGTAACATGAAACACGATTAGCCAGGAACTGACGCTTGCTGAAGTGGGCGAGAGGTGCATGGGGTCAGTGTACTGCTCTGTTTTTACAGGCATACCTGGTTTATTTTGCTTCCCGATACTGTGTTTTTACAAATTGAAGGCAAGACCTTCCACCAGCAAAAAGATTATGACTTGCTGAAGGCTCAGATAATGGTTAGCATTTTATTTAGCAATAAAATACTATAAAATTATTTTTTAGAATACTATTGCACATTTAATAGACTAAGACATAGTGTAAACATAAGTTATATATATACATTTATATGTATATATGTATGTGTGTGTGTGTGTATATGTATATATATATATAGTGAAACCAAAAATAATCATGTGACTCACTGTGCAAGATTCACTTTATTGTGGTGGTCTGAAACTGAGCCCACAATAGCTTTGAGGTATGCTTTTATATCCAAAAAAATTAAAAGTTAAGAAAAACAATGGTATATTGTCTGAAGTTTGAAAAGTTACACACAAAAATGTGTGAACTCAGTGTGAAATTACATTAATACATTTACACTTTCTTCCCCTTTTCTTTTTTAAAATTTTATATATTTTTCCTTTATTTTATTCTTTTTGATCACTATCCTTTTTCTTTTTTTTTTTTTTATCCTCACCCGAGGACATTTTTCCATTTTTTGTTCAGGTAGAGTGGGAGGGAGAGAGAGGAAGAGGGAGAAAGAGAAACATCGACGTGAAACATCAACACATGGAGTGGCTGCCACCCTCACGACCAACCAGGGCCGGGGACAAACTGCGACCGAGGTATACGCCCTTAGTGGGAACCGAACCTGGGTCTCTCGGGTCTGTAGGCTGATGCTCTAACTGCTGAGCCAAACCGGCCAGGGCATTATCCTTTTTCTTAATCTGTAGCAATGAGCATGCATAATCAGAAAGAAAATAATGTTTAAAAATGGTTTTAAATTAAAGGGTATATACCAGTCATGGCTAAAGGGGCCACAGAAAGTGAGCCACTTGTGGGCAGGTGGCCAGCTCCTCCCTCTGGGAATCACAGACTCTGCTTTGTCTTCTCAGCTCCAGGAGGTGGGGACTGAAGGGGGAGGAGAAGGGGAAGGGAGAGAAGAAGAAGGACCAGCATGGTGCTGAGCCAGTCTTACAGGTGAGGTCCTCTTACAGGTGAGGTCCTCTTACAGGTGAAGACACAGAGGATCAGAGGGATCAGTGGGGCTATCTGAGGGGAGAAGGAGCCAGTGTGTGATGTATCCGGTGCTTCCTCTTTTGTCCCATCTCTGCAGATAGCTCTGTGGGGTGGGCATCATTCTTCCCGACACAGAGAGGAGCAAACAGTCTCAGAGAGGTGAAGTGACGTACCCGGGGTTACTCAGCCAGAAGCTGCCCGGGATCGGGACTGGCCTCAATTCTTTCCCTGGTGCTTACTCCCACAGTTCACTGTGCCCCAAGGTGGACTGGGGCTGAGGCCTTCCATCCGAATGCAGGGCACTTTGCCTGAGTGACTCAACCTCCCCTGGCTCCAGGTTGATGGAGGAGCAGCCTGGCCTGGGGACAGGAGGCCTGGATGCTTAGTGAGGGCTGTGCCTTGGCACCACCATGGGACCTGAGCCTTGCCCTCACCTGGACAACTGGGATGAGCACCAGACATTGGGTAAATGGGAACATGGCCTGTAAACTGTAACACATTGTACAATATGCAGAATCTTAGCGGGGAAAGGGAGCATCTGTGTGTACAGTAAATAAATACATCTGCAGCCATCTGACCTGAGCCTCACCTGTGAAGGGGCAGCACTAAAACTGCTGTCAGGGAGGGGAGAGGGGACAGTGTAAGATAAAACACCCAGCCAGCTGAGCACCCAGAGGGCTTCTCCCTCCCACACCCTCTCCCCAAGGCAGCTCAGGCTCTCAGGGACCTCTCTGGCAGCCTGGAGACTGGCCTCCTCACCCCAACGGCAGAGCCCCCGCAGGCCACTGACAGGTGAAAGAGGGGCCTTTCTCCTGGGCCTGCAGCCCTGTCCCTGGCTGGCTGTGCTGGGCCAGGCCTGGATCACCCTCCTGTTGGAGCTCGGTTTCCAAGGCCCAGTAAAAGCAGGTCTGGGAGCCTCTGTGGACCCTAGAGGAAGTTGGGGTGGGGCTGGGGCGCTGCCCCACCTGCAGGTTTGACCTCCCACCCTGTGATCCCTGTCTCCTCCTCTCTCCTTCGAGGGACGCCGGGTTTGTCCACAATCCCTCTTCCGTTAGTATCTCACATCTTTCTCTTTTCCTCTCTATTCTCCCCCCACCCACTTCTCCTGCCATGTTAGTTCCTCTGTTTCGTTCCCTCTTGTTCCTTTTTCTTTCTATCCCTGTTCACAGCTCATAGTGCGCAAACATCTGTTTATCTCCAAAGTCTCCTAGTCTCTATTTCTCTCCATTCTTCCCCCTGCCCTCTCTATAATCGTCTCAGTCCCCTGCCTTTATTTCTCTGCCTTTTCCTATCTTTCTCCGTTTTCTCTCACCATCGTCCTCTGTCTTTCCCCATCTCTTTCTCTCTGTCCGGCTCTGTTTCCACGTCCCTCCCTCCTCCGTCTCTTGCTCTTCCCCACCTCGCAGTGCGTCTGTCCCGGCCCCCGCCCGTCCGGGCCCCACTCACCGGCGTCGGCGCCCGCAGCGCAGAGCAGGGAGAGCGCGGCCAGCGCGCAGAGCAGGGGCCGCATGGTGCGTCTGCCCGCAGCCACCCTCCCCGCGAGCCGGCCGCGATCCCGCCGGCCGCTCGGGAGGAAATGCTCGCAGTCCCAGCCAAAATTCCTGGGCGGCTCCGGGCTTTCTGGCTCCAGCGAACCCGCCCCCTCCAGAGGCCCCTCCGCACCCCGCGGGCCGCGCGGAGCCCAGAGACCCCGCGGGCGGAGGGGCGGACGTGCCAGCCTGGGAGCCAGCAGGGCAAAGGGCCGCCCTCGAGTCCCCGCGCCTCCTGGGGACCGGGGTGCAGAGGAGAGAGAGAAGGGCGAGAGGGTAAGGGTGAGGGCGTGGGCTCCAGGAGACTGCCCCGGGCCGGGTATTCGTTATGAGCCCATTATACAGACAGGCCGGCCAACCAAGCTCTGAGAGCAGCGCCTTCCTTCTCCGGCCACGCGCGGAGTGTGCAGGCTTTCCTGTCCCCCTGCGAATGTTCCTCACTCTAACTCCATGGGGCAGTGTCTGGCCCTGACAAGTGGTGTCTGCCTTCTATAGAAACGCACTGTTCTGCTGAAGGAGTAATAGTAATGTTAGAAGATACTTTTCAAAAAAAGGTAAAATCATGACGAATGAAAAGCGAGCATGTGCTGAAGATTTTATTTAACTCATTACTAGCGAATCAGTAAGAGGTGACAGCCAGACCAAAGGACAGAGATCTGGAATATTGACATGAATGTGCAAATAGAGATAAAACTAGCTTCTTCCACACTCTGGGGTAGAATGGATTGAACCTACAACAGGAGTAATTTGCATCCATCTAGACAAACATTACTTTGCATTCTTATCTATGACTCACAGACTCTTTAAACAGCTTAAAGGCAACAGAAGGCCCAGAACCCTAATAGAATCAGAACTAGAGCTCAGCCTTGTTCTGGGTAGTGTTAGGTAGACACCGGTGGAGGGAGAAAACGAAAGAATTCTCATTCACTCTGTCTGCCCTCAAGGAGTTCACGGTTTAGAAACCACCATAATATTAATGAACAGTAACTGAGGTTTGATAGATTTACCTCTACATACACCCTCTCTTCTCTTCACTGCAACTCCATGAGGGGCACATAATTAAGTCCATTCTGCAAATTAAGAAACTGAGACTCAGACGTGTTAAGGACCTTGAGGACAGCCTCCAGCTGGTGTAAGGTGGGGAGTCAAGATTGGAGTCCAGCCCTGCGGCCTCTGCAGGCCAGCCCCCAGACCAGAGGCTTTAACCTTTTTCATCTCACGGCTCATGTAAACGACTTACTAAAATTCTGCTGCACACCTAAAATTATATTATAATGTTTGCCAATCTGACCAAAAAAAAGTATAATTTTGATTCATTCACACCGGACAGCTATTGTTGTGTTGGCTGTTGTCATTTTTTGATTTGACAATCTAAGGGAAAAGAGGTCAGTTCCTCTGTCTAAATAGTCAGGTATTGCATGTTTTCAAAATTCTTGTGGTATCTGGTTGAAAATCAGTGCCTTAGATAGTAATATTCACCATGTCTCTGAGGAGCCGGGTTGTCTTTCTTCATTCTGTAAGCCCAGAGTAAGAGCTGGGTGGGTTTTTCAGTGAACTTCAAATCCACCTTCCTCCAGTTTAGAACACAATGGTTAAGCCCTCATCGATGGGACACACCCACCCAACAAGTGCAAAGAAGGTTAAGTTTTAGTGAAAATAAAAGCAAAAGCTGCAGCAGGCTTAACATCTGTGCTGCAGAGCCTTGAGTGTATAGCCTGGTTTCAGTGGAGCGCCTTCATCACCAAGCCTAGAAGAATGTTTTTATCCAGCAAGGGCCCCCATTACGGTGAACTGGAGTCCTTTCAGACCAAGACTGCCTCTCTGTCTTCTCATTCCCAACTGGCCTGTGCAGTTGCCCAATACAGTCACCACACTAACCATTAGTGCTCACTTCTCACTTCCACCTCCAGATAATAGCCTTAGGCACAGAAATTTCAGTTCTGAATCAGCAGATCTTGGGCAGAGACTAGAATCTAATTTTAAAGATGCACTCATAGGGATTAGGATGCCCAGTTGAGCTGGCTCAGAAGAAGGGTTTATTTCAAGAATGCCAAGAATTTCTCACACTTGTTAGTAGGCATTCCTGGGTAGGTTAGTCAGGTGAGAAATTGTCAAAGAACAGCCAAACCCACAGGGATTCATGCAGCTCAGAACCAGTGGACTACCTAATATTTTGAATTTGCAATGAAAACAACATACATACAATACTTCCCTGTGTGGTAGTCATGAAGTAAGAAAGCAGACACAGAAAAATATGGAACTCCTCTCTGTCACTCACTTCCCCTAGACAGTGATTTTAGTCCAGTCCCCTCAGCGTGGTGGACTCTTCCAGTTCCTTGTCTACACATTTCCTTTCTATTTAATATATATTCAGATAGACACAAACATATACCTGGGACTGAAAAGTAGGTATTTTTAGAACTTGCTTTCACATTCATGTTTATCTCACTCATAGCATCAAATCTTGAAGATCATTCTATGTTAGTGCACATAAATCTACTTCATTTCTTTGAAGAGTTGCAAAATATCTCATGAACGGCTGCACTATTATTTGTCCAGACACAGATGGACATGTAGTTTGTTTCCCTTTCTCCCCCTGCTTCAGTGAGCATCCTTTTGCATATACCTTTATGTACATGTTACACACTCATGTATTTTTGAAAGGTTAGATTCCTGGAAGAGGAATGATTGAGTCAGAGAGCCTTTTGCATATTGCTGGATATGCCAAAAAAATCTCACTAAGCCCATTGGAAGGGGCTCGCACTGAGAGCTACTCCAGGGGGTCCTCCAATTAATCCTGTTCTGTGTTGGAGTTGTGCTGCAGGGGGCACTATTTACATAAAATAACTTCTGCAGTAGACCTGAAGTTGCAGATCTAGTAACCTTGTATGTACATTCTCTCTCTCTTTTTAAAACTCATCTTTATTGTTGAATGTATTACAGAATTACGGATGTTCCCCCACTTTTTCCCCATTGACCCCCTCCTCCCCAATCCCGCCCCCCTCCTCCCTTCCCCACACTATTGTTGGTGTCCATTGGTTGTGCATATATGCATAGAAGTTCTTTGGTTTATTTCATGCTGCCCTTCCTCCCCTCTTCCCTTTAAGGTTAATCAGTCTAACAACCAATTTGTACTTCTTAATTCTTTCATTCTTTTCACCCATCCCCCCAACCCCTACCCATCTGGCAAGCAACAAAAATTTTCTGTATCTATGAGTCTGTTTCTGTTCTGCTTGCTCATTTTGTTTGTAGATTCCATTGTTGATAGAAACATATTAATTGCCATTTTATTGTTCATGTTTTCATTGTTCTTCTCCTTCAAGAAGACTTTCAACATTTCATATAACACTGGTTTGGTCGTGATAAACTCCTTTAGCTTTTTCTTGTCTGGGAAACTCTTGATATGCTCATCAATTCTAAATGATAGCATTGCAGGGTAGCATAATCTTGGTTGTAGGTCATTGTTTTTCATCACCTTGAATATCTTTTGCCACTCCTTTCTGACCTGTAAAGTCTCTTTTGAGAAATCAGTTGACAGTCTTATGGAAGCTCCTTTGTAGGTAACAAACTGCTTTTCTCTTGCTGCTTTTAAGATTCTCTCTTTGTCTTTAACCTTTGGCATTTTGATTATGATGTGTCTTGGTATGGACCTCTTTGGGTTCATCTTGTTTGGAATTCTCTGTGCTTCCTGGACTTGTATGTCTGTTTCCTTCACCAAGTTAGAGAAGTTTTCTATCATTATTGTTTCAAATAGATTTTCAATTTCTTGTTCTCTCTCTTTTTCTTCTGACACCCCTATGATGTGAATGTTGGCACACTTGAAGTTGTCCCAGAGACTCCTTATGCTATCCTCAATTTTTTGGAATCTTTTTTCTTTTTGCTGTTCTGACTGGGTGGTTTTTGCTTTCTTATATTCCAAATCAATGGTTTTCTTCTTGGCGTTACCTACTCTACTATTGATTCCCTATAAATTATTCTTTATTTCAGTTAGTGCATCCTTTATTTCTGACTGGTTCTTTTTTATGTTGTTGATGTTCTCACTAAATTCCTTGGAGGTCTCCTTAAGTTCCTTTAAGGTCTCACTAAGTTTCTTTCTTTCTTTTTTTTTTTTATCCTCACTTGAGGACATTTTTCCATTTTTTTGTTCAGATAGAGTGGGAGGGAGAGAGAGAAAGAGAGAAACATAGACCTGAAAGGTACACATTGAGTGGCTGCCACCCACATGACCCAACCAGGGCCGGTGACAAACTGCAAACAAAATATGTGCCCTTAGTGGGAACCAAACCTGGGTCTCTCTGGACTACAGGCCGACGCTCTAACCACTGAACCAAACTGGCCAGGGCTCAGTAGGTTTCTTAAATGTCTCACCAAGTACCTTGAGCAACCTTATAATCAATGTTTTGAGCTCTGCATCTGGTTAATTGCTTATCTCCATTTTGTTTAATTCTTTTCCTGGAGTTTTGTTCTGTTCTTTCATTTGGGACATGTTTCTTTGTCTCCTCATTTTGGCTGCTTCCCTGTTATTGTTTCTATGTTTTAGGTAGAATTGCTATGTCTCCTAGGCTTTGTAAGGTGGCCTATTGTTGTAGGTGTCCTGTAGAATCCAGTGGCACAATCTTCCTGATCACCCTAGCTGGGCCCTTGAGGTGCAACCCAAATGTGGACTATACACCCTTCTGTTGCAGTTGAGTCTTGATTGCTGTTGGTATGTCAGTGGGAGGGATTTACTCAGGCTGCTCAGCTGCAAAGACTGGCTATGCCCACTGACCACTGGCCTCTGACTACTTTGGAGGATCAGCTGTGTAGGGGCTCACCACACAGAGCAAGACTTACTTCAGCAGGGCTCTGGTACCACTGAATCCACTCCTTGAGTGTGGTTGGGTGGTGGTGTTTCTATGTAATCTGAAGCTGTCCACTGGGTGTGCTGGCTCTGGGGCAAGGTCAGTCACTGCCTGTGTTCTATCCGGGGCCAACCAGCATA